AGTAGGAAAATACTTTGTTGTTGGTGGTGTTGTTCTCACTTCACTTAAAACAAGAAGGATGATACTTCCATGATCTTTCGTTTCAAAAGGGGTCCAACCTCCACAACCATGACTAGATGCAAACAATCATCTTTGTCACATCTTCATCAGCTACCATTTGTCTATACATTGAAGCTGGGATAAAATATTGCTCCTCTTTTTTTTTTTTTCTTTCCGAATAGCTCCAATAAAAGTATGCTTTTTGCCGGTTCGTAAATGCGTTTGCCCTCTAGTTGGATACCCCTGTTGGCTATCACTGTAGTTGAATGAACACGAAAGTCGAATCAAGGAGTCATTTCGATTAGTTACATATAAGATTGGAAATTATACATCGTACAAATGTTTACCAATCAGGTAAGATCGACACTCTTTAATATGATTCATCCTTTATCCTATTAGCTATGCTAATCCGACCTATAAACCCTAATTATATAAATAATTTCAAATACAAGTATATATATCTTGAACTATTTATTATGTAATATTGTAGAATTTTAATGTGTGGAGATTAAATTTTCGGATCACAATTGATAGATATAATTAAGATTTAAATAGATTTCATCTATTGACCAAAAAAAAAAAAAATAGATTTCATCTATGTGAGAGATGTGAACATTGAGCAATTTGGTGCAAATAGTATTGTATCACTGTATCAACTAAGCCACTAGTCTTATATTAATTCTTAAAAGCCAGATGATCAGCACATTCTCTTATTTACCTCTTCCACTTGCACGCCTATGATTTCATCCATTCAACAAAATTCTTGAAGATCTTGTTCTTGATTTCTCCTTCCTGATGATGCCGGCTTTCCAGACATCACAAATGTAGCTTTCATTAGTGAACTGAAGGAACCCCATTGCTTAGGCCTTCTGGAGTAGTGTTCCAACCAGAGTGGCTTAGGAAGCAAGCAATCGAAGGATGAGCCAGAACCTTCTGTTAAGGCGCCCAACCAACCATCCAACCGCGAGAGGCTACTCGCTCTTGATATCCTTCCGGGTAGCGATTACTCGTCTTGTCAGTGAAATCCGGCCTCACAATGCAGAGGAATGGCCTCTCGGATTATTCAAGAGCCAGAACCATTTCTTTGAATTGGATTGGATTCAAAATTGTAAAGCTGCCAAATGCAACATAGATCACTGAGCTGGGTGGCTGTTGGTCCAGCCACTCTAAACAAGTTGAGTCTTGTGGCCAAAAGTAGTCTGCTGAATTCCCAAGCCAGCTGCTAGCTAACAGCGGGTCTTTTGGTAGAATTCCCACACAAAGTCTGCAGTTTTCAAGGTGGGCATGTTTGATGCCAATTGAATCTCCTGGTTTTTCAACATGGTTCCTGCCATAAGTGAATGTTTTTGAAAGATAACCATAGAAACAGAACTTAAGTGTTGCATTTCCTATTACTAATCATGGAGGTTTCAACTGTCAAGAGGACTAGTCACTAATCCCCAAGGAACCTGGTCTCTATTCGCTTACTTGTTTAATGCGTCATTTGTGGAACACGTATTGGCGAGGCTTCGATAATCACTTACATATGCTAGATCTATTAGGTTACCGATGTTACACACGCCACACAACCCGAAGTTTCACTATAGTAACCAAAAATTTAGAACAACTTCAAAGAGTAACTAGCAAGGAAGTCTATATCCATCCCTAGTGGACCAGTTTGAAACTACTTATGGCATAGTTAAAAGCGTTTTCTGACAAGTAAAAGCGCTTTTAATAACATTATGAGCACTTTCTAGACTTCAAAATCTTATCTTTCAAATGAGTAGGCTTTACGAACTTAATTTAGAACTAGTTGGATTAAAATGTTTACATAGCATGGCTGAATAGCTAGTGATAGAGGAACTCACAGGTCTCAATTCCCTTCCAAGAAAATTAATTTTTCTACGCAGATGTCCGTTAGGCCAATTAGTCAAGGACTGTGTTCCCGTCGAATTTGTCCCTAACACTTAAGTTTGAATTTTTTTTTTTTTTGTTTGTAAATTAGAGTAGTTTAGAATATTTAACAACATGACTTAAATATTTTTCAAATAACCAAAGTGAACTAACCTAAAAAACTCATGGGGAAAAGTTGATATAAACCCTTAATGTCAATACGAGTGACATGACATTGATCATATTTTATTTGGGGTGGAAATTCGAATGCCAAATAATATGGGTGCCAGTCGTGCAATTTTACGAAATAATAACAGTTGCAGACGTTATCCCCTTAATCCTCCCATTTCGCAGTATAAACATTATCCCCTTCATCTTCCCACCAGCAGCAGGCTCAGTGGTGTGAAACATTACGGCAAAAATGGCGGTTTCGATAACGGCTCTCACGTCATCCCTATCCTCTCTCTCGTTTTCCTCCCACGTAGCTCAGAAGCCCAGCATTGTGTCGTTTCCCGGCTCCAAATCAGTGTCTGTTTCGCACGTGTGCGGAGCCCCCACACGTGCACCTCGTCTGGTGGTGGCTTCCGTCGCGGCAGCTCCTCCAACGGAAGTGGTGGAGACTGAAAACCTCAAGAAATACGTGAAATCGAGGCTTCCCGGCGGCTTTGCGGCTCAGACAATCATTGGCACCGGTCGCCGGAAATGTGCGATTGCTCGTGTTGTACTCCAGGAGGGCACCGGAAAAGTTATCATCAACTATCGCGACGCCAAGGTCTCTTCTCTCTCTCGCTTTCTTTGTTAACACATGTAGTTTAGGGTTTCGAATTGGGGCTTCAGTGCTCATCCAATTTTACCGATTTGTTAGCTACAGAATTCGATTTTTTTTCTCCACAAGAATAATGATTTTAGTGTAGTTGATTTGTGAATAATGTATAGTTAAGCTGATATCTCTGCGGTTAAGCAATTTCATGCTCAAAGTGTGCTTCTTTGGGCAGCCAAAGATGCTTGCTTTTGTACTTTTTACATTGTTTGTTGCTGAGTATAGACACAAGTAATATAAATGTTGTAAGATGAACAACATTCAGAAATTCTTCAACGCCGGAAGAATGTTGCGGACTATTCACCTCCTGCAACTATCCCGCATTGGACAAAACCCCCTAACAACATTACGATAGCAGATGCGGTTGTGGGGGATTGCCCTTTATCTATCTGCTATGATGTTCTTAGTTCTTTATGTTTTGCTTTGTTTGTTCTGTCCTGTTCTTTTCGTTTTATGCTCGAAGTGCGCCAATGATTTTTATGTATTGAATTCAAGCATTCTTCTTTGGGGATTATGTTTATGATGGAAAGGTTTGGGTAGTAGTTAATTCGTTTGTCTAATCTTGTTTTTCGATCTGTTATCTGTTTCTAGATACAACTCTGAGTGGAATGCGATGATTTGTGTTAGGTTTTGTTCATGGTTGCCGACTACTGTGATATTTCTTGTGGTCCGAGTCCTTTACAGCTTTCAGTATCAGCAATTCCTTGAACAATGCTTTCTTTTTTAAATCTCATGGTCAACAAATAATTGTCACATCTGTCGTGAATATCATGATCATGTAGCAAGTATAGCAGTAGTTGGAGTACAGGCACCAAAGTTGCTTGTTAGGGGATTTTGTTTGCTTTAGACAATGTTAACGAAACCCTTATGATTCTGTATTATAACCTTGTGTAGGAATATCTGCAAGGCAACCCGTTGTGGCTACAGTACGTAAGAGTACCGTTGGTTACTTTAGGATACGAAAGTGGGTACGACGTGTTTGTCAAGTCTCATGGTGGTGGCCTTTCTGGTCAGGCGCAGGCGATATCCCTTGGCATTGCTCGAGCTTTGCTAAAGGTCAGCGAAGACCATAGAAGACCTCTCAGAAAGGAAGGGCTGCTGACCAGAGACGCCAGAGTAGTTGAAAGGAAGAAGCCTGGTCTCAAGAAAGCTCGCAAGGCCCCTCAGTTTTCAAAGCGTTAGACTCGTCTTTCCTTTTCTATGCTGTGAACATCGCAAGCCATACAAAGATCTCGGCTTCCATTGTAGATTAAGTGGCTTTTGTAGTGAAATCTTTTTGTGCACAATATGAACAGGTTTTCATTTGGAAATGTGAATGTAGATTGAAAGCAAGGAATTTGGATTTGGTAACTTAATTTGTTACTTCCCATAACTTGATTGCCAGACATATTTATGTTTCTAGGGTTATATCATATGATCCTAGAGTTTTTGGGCATAAATTCAAGTACCGGCTCAAGGCAGCTTGCTCGCTAGATCGCCTTTTTCTCAACAATTTCCGGCCAATACTCTAATCAGCAAGAACACAAGTGAATTGATCCATCGAATTATTCGGCCATAACATGCACGATTTTTTCAGATAACCTTGATTTGTTGGTTATTACTTCTTTAGTTAATAGTAGATTATCACTAATTTTAGCTATAGAAAATGCTCTATATCCCAAATTTTTATTTTCCAAACCTAGGCGTCAAGTGACATGCAACCTGCATCATTGCATAAAAAGTACAATAACTTTGTTTACATCATTGCATAAAAATTACAATAACTTTGTAGGCTCCAAGGATAACAAAATTGAAACCAAAATTTATGCCGGTTTTCCAAGCGAGATGAAGGTGGTTTGAAGTTCAAGGGCTTTTACAAGAGAGGAGCGAATGACTAAACATTTAGGGTTATGGACCAGCCCTAAAAAAGGAGAGAGATTTAGATACAAAGGTGAGCCCATATTTTAGATTAGTTTCTTATAGATTTTGTAATCTTATTTTTGGACCTATTTTGGTTAGTTTTGGATCAAATTCTGCATCCTTTTTTGGTACGTTTTCTATAAACCCTAAAACCCTATAATATATGTTATTTTCTTCTGTCAACCTAAAAACATAAGGATTTTTAGCAAAATGATATTTGAAATTATCGTAACTTCTCACTTTGGTCCATAATTTTAAAATCGATAGAAGTAGTCCTAAGATTGTCTACCATCAAATCAATCATTTTAGTCATGTGAAAAATCTCTGTTAAATAGAAAAAACCACCGATCCAACTAAAGTTTTTGAAACAATAAAGCATCTTTAGTCAAATTTCATTATCTACGTGATACTATAAATAGAAGGATATACCGTTTACATTGGATACACAAACCGTTGAAGGTAGTTCTAGATCTGGCAGCCCAAAACATCACACCGTTGTTTTATATTCTTGTTTTGGTACGGTTGGAAAACTTTATTTAATGAACACAAGATTTTGGATCACCGTTTACATTGGTCTCAGTTGAATCCATAGCTACATTTTCTTTGCTGCCTATTTCCTTTTGTTTATTTCGAAGAAAACGAAGATCGATGGGCGTCTCGTCTTAAGACTTCATCCATTCAATAAAGTTCTTGAAGGTCTCGTACGATTGTCCGCCTTCTTTGATGTTGTTCATGGCCACTTCCTTCAGTTTCGAAGCTCTCGCTGTGAAGTTTTTATCACTGAGAAGTTGCTCCACCTTGGTCTTGATTTCTCCTTCCGTGATGATCCCGCTTTCATTCTTATCGAATCTCAGTCCCACCTTCCAAATATCGCAAATGTAGCTCTCGTTGAGCAACTGGTCAGCAAAGTACGGCCAGCACAAGAAAGGAAGCCCACTGCTTAGGCCTTCCAGGGTAGAGTTCCAACCGCAGTGGCTTACAAAGCAAGCAATCGAAGGATGACTGAGAACCTTTTGTTGAGGTGCCCATCCGACCATCAGACCGCAAGAGCCTACTCGCTCTTGATATCCTTCCGGGTAGGGATCACTTGCACCATCAGTGGTATCCGGCCTCACAACCCACAGAAATGGTCTCCCTGACAACTCAAGAGCCAACGCAAGCTCTTGGAATTGTGTTTGATCGAAAACCGTGAAGCTGCCAAATGCAACATAGATCACTGATCTGGGTTTCTGTTGATCCAGCCAATCTAAGCATGTTGAGTCTTGTGGCCAGAAGTTTCCTTGTGAGTTCTCGAGCCGGCTGCTTGCCAAAAGGGGGCCTATTGGTAAAATCTCGGGTGCTAGGGTGAACGCTGCTGGTTCAAGATCATACGCCGAGTTGCAGACAAGCCAGTCTGCCGCTTTCGCATACTTATTGTTTCTTACTAAAAGTTGAAAGATAATTTTCTGAGTGTCTAGTGTATGAAAGCATGTCCACAGCAAGTTTGCAGTTTTCATTTTGGGCTGATTTTTTGCCAACTCAATTTCTTGGCTTTTCAACGGAGTTCCTGCCATAAGTGAATCATAACGAGAATATAATTAGTGAATTAGATCAAAATAATTCTTTGTTAATCAAATTATTGTACCATCATCGTTGTCGATGATTCCTTCATGAATCAACTTTGGAATATTGAAACTCAATGCCAAAGCTGCAGCTGATGCAGGCCAAAAGGCAACCCGCCGGATTTTCATTTTCGCTGCCACGTCCAGAGCCCACCCGGAATTCTCATCAGCAAGAACACATGCGACCTTTTCACTTTCTTCTTCATTGATCTTCTCTATCAACTCCTCCAACTTCCCCGGCATGACTCGTTGAATTCCTTCACACAACAGGCCTAGGTCATTCCTGTCCTCCTTGGGTTCTAAGCCATCTGGAAGCGATACTAGATGAATACGATCTCCTACATGAGTTTCGCCAGCCAAGGCGTTCACGATGCGTTTGTGATTGAACTCTGTGTTCACAAATGTGACTTTGAAGCCATGATTGACTAAGCATTGTGACAACTCCATCAAGGGCAGCACATGGCCTTGTGCGGGAAAAGGAACAGCTATTATATGTAGGTTGCTCATTTTTGTTTTGATCTTTCCTTTTTCCGCTATGAGATGTTTTCGAATGTAGCTTCTCTATCGTGTCATATATAGAAGAAGCCCGGAGCATCGTATTAGGAAATATTATATACGGTATTATATGTAAATATCTTGTATTATATTTACCTAAATACGTTTGAGTCAAATCCCACAAAATATGGGTCACTGTTCCTTAGTCATTAATGTAGGGTTGATTAGTTCACTAGGTGGTGTATATATTGTACAGTATACTCTGCCAATTGAGACAGATGAAAAACATTCAATCTAGAAAATTTTAACGAAAAATTCGCGGTACTGTTCATTTTAAGGAAAAATCATAATTTTACACTAAAAAGTTAAAACTGATGCTATTTATTTTATCCTTTATTTCGTTTTTATTGTTAAAACTCAAAAATTTCAAATTATTTTTATTAATTTTTTTTTCAGTTTATCAATTGTCATAGACTTCCAATCTAGCCTTTTGAATATTCAACTATTTTAACATGGTATCCAGAGCATAAGGTTCTGGTGCCTAATTGCCCACGTTTTTAACTCTCATCCATCTAAACATAATGTCATAATGTCAGACACATTTGTTCAACCACCACCGCAGAAAAATCAAAACAATAGCAATATCGGCATCGATCCATCAAGTCCCCCTTAGCAACAAGTCAACCAAAATAATTTGCTCTCTCGAATCAATGCAACAATATGATTTTGTCATGGTTTGCTCAATCAGTTGAATCTGATTTATCTAAAAGAGTTGTTCATGCCAAAAGCGTCCAAAGGGAGTGGGAAGATTTCAAAAATCAGTTTTCACAGTAAAATGCACCAACAATTTATCAGATTCAGAAGTTCATCGCATCTCTCTCACAAGGATCCATGACGGTCTCGGCTTATATTACAAAACTTAAAAGCCTTTGGAATGAATTAGAGACATATGATCTAAAGTTCATCAAGCATATTCACTTGTTATTCAAGATGAAACACAACGACAAATGACATCAGAATTAATCGAAAATTTCTCAATCGCTACTGCAGTTCAAAATCGATCGAACCATTCCTCTAACAGTTCCACGAATCTTCGTTACGAATACTGTGGTAAAGACAGACACACAATTGAAAATTGTAGGACTTGGAAAATATTATTACAAATTTTGTGACAAATAAGGCCAAGACAGATGCAAAATAAAGAATGGGACCGAGGACTAGTTACGGTGGAAACCAAGACAAGAAACACATCAACAAACCTCGCTCCCGTGGATCCCATAGCAGCCACCCACGTACTGCCTTCTCTGCTGCAAATGCCGCTGCTGGGTCATCCTCTTTTGCTGCCAACGCAGCACATGGTCCTCACCTTGCTGCCAATACAGCAGCTGCCCCCTCTCAACCACACATGTCTCAATCAAATGCTCTGCAGTGGACTTTCAGCAGAACAGCTTCAACAGTTGGCCCAAGCTGCATCCATGATAAATTTAAGGCTAAATTGGATTAATGGTTTCCGTGATAATAGGTTAATAGAAAGATAATTCCCGTGGTGAAAAAATTCAGATTGAAATCTTCATAGTGAAGTTCCGTTAGGATTTAAGCTTAAAATTAACATTTCCGTTAGAATTTTCAATTTTGAGAGTTACTTTTCCTCTCTCTATTTTTTTTTTCGAAGATATTTTTGTTAGAAGAAGGAATGCGGGTAAAATTCTAACACCAGTCACCACCATCATCAACTCCAACCCCAAAATTTCACACCCTTTTCTTTTCCTACATTTATTCTAATCCCAGATTTTGTTTCTCATAAATACTCATATCCTTTTCTTGGTTTTCGTTTTTTTTAAATTTTGCCCTTCTCTCACCTATGTATTATCTTCTCTTACCCTTCTTTTCCCCTCCTTCTTCTTCTCGTGTTCGTCAATTCGACTGGTTATTGTTGTTCGTTATCTATGGATAAATCTGTAATCTTGTTGTATATCGCTGCCTTGGCAACTTCGCTACGATTAGTTTCTTCGTCTTCTGTTCTATGCCCTCATGACTCGATTTCTTAATTTCTTTTATTTTGGAGCTGAAAATAATTAGTTAATTAACTCATATGTTCCATAACCATAGCTATGACTCTATGATTTGGGTGCTGGGATGAAGATAAATATCCATTGGTTTGCTCCAGGCCGAAGGTCTGGAGAGAAAATGAGAGAGAGATGGGATGCAAAGAACCAGGTGGGGAGAGGCAGAATCAAAGAACCAAGGTGGAAATGTTAACGGAAGTTGACGTCAGTTAATTTTGGGTTTGAATCCTAATGAAACTTCACCACAAGCGTTTAAATTTAATTTTTTTTCACCACGGGGATTATCATTCGATTAACTTATCACCACAAGGACCATTAATCCAATTTAGCCTAAATTTAAACCATGCTCCTGGTAATAACAATGCTTATGCAAACGCTGCAGTTTTGTTCCCTTTTACTGTTGCTTCTGTTAATTCCATGTTTACACAGCCTTGAATTTTGGATAGCGGGCCACCAATCACATCATCTCAGACTCCTCATTTTTCAATAAAGCCTTGCAACGAAGCCTCAATATTCTGTGTGTGTGTATACATACACACACATATATTTGATGAATCTATATATACACATATAAATCCAAGGAATGCATGAGGGAATGGCATAGTATGTTCACAGGAAGGACGAGGATTCTCTTCCCTTCTAATTTTTTTTTAATTTTTATTTGAACGGTTACGATTTAGTCACGTTAATATTTTATATTGATTTTTTTTATAAAGACAATAAAATAAAAAATAATATGTGAGAGAAGAAGAGGGAAGAAGATAAGAATAGAAGGGAAGAGAATCCTACTATCACAAGAAAGCCTTGAAAGCCATATGTCAGTATTAACTGTGGGAAGAGAGCATGGGTTGGTGGTGGTGGTTACAATCATTGCAGAGCTATATCCAGAGCATAAGGTTCTGGTGCCTGATTGTAGGGGTGGGTTCGGTTCAAATCGGTTTGGTTTTTTGCCAAAACCGAAACCAAACCGAAATTTCGGTTCGGTTCGGTTCGGTTAATTTTTTTTTCGGTTCGGTTTTTTCCGGTTCGATTTCAGTTCAATTTCGGTTTTTTGTTTTTTTTTTCAAAAAATGAAAAACATTGAAATTTTTAACATATCCACCACAATCATAACATAAGCATTCTAACTATAATAAAAGACAATGAAAATAAACATTTAAAGTTGAACTAAAATCATCAATCAAGTATTCCAAAGTCCAAACTAACAACCTCACAACACAAAAATCGTACAAATGACTTAGAAAAGTTAAATTGTATGATGTTGTTCAAAGATCATGGTTGTTTGCTTGTAACTGCATGTTGACAACTTGATTAGTAAAAGTAATGTGTGAGTGGATTTATTTAGTGTGTGTTGGATTCTTTTCCATCACAAATTACCCAAGTAATCTACCTGAAATAAATGTTTATGGATTATGTTACATGTTATATGAGAGTAGATTTGGAAAAGAAAGCTGGGGCAGAAGTAGACAGTGCTATGGAGATGGATGTAGGTACTTCAGGAGGAGGTTTGGTTTCGGAACCTTATATAGGGGAGAAATAATAGGTTAGGGTTTAGAGTTTTTATAGGCCTTTTTTTAATATTTTGAGCTTAAAGTTTGGCAACACATTGGGTTTAGCATATTTTAACTTACAAATTGGGTTTAGAAAATAATACCCAAAACAAATAATTAAATAAAAAAATTAATTTAATTAATTCGGTTCGGTTTGGTTCGGTTTCTAGATCACTAAAACTGAACCGAACCAAAAGAATTCGGTTCGGTTCGGTTTTTTCATTCGGTTCAGTTTTTTCTGTTTCGATTTCGGTTTGGTTTTCGGTTTTTTTCGGTTTTCGGTTTTTTGAACCCACCCCTACCTGATTGCCCACGTTTTCAACTCTCATCAATTTCTAAACATCATGTCAGACACATTTGTTCAACCACCACCCAGAGCCAATGAAGGCTTATTGGGGGCACATGCCGTCATTTAAATGATATTCGTTTGTTAAGTTGTAAACTACAATTATATAATACACATGCGTTATTTTTTAAGAAAATATATGTACCTAATATCCAACTTACTTTCATATGCGTATACTCTATATCAAATATTATATGAGCAAAAGTGCTTTTGTTCTGTCATTCAAATCGAAAAACCTTACTCTTGCATAATTATGTATTAATATTTTTCTTATCACTTTGCCACTTTCCACTACTACCCTGAAATTTTTGTAACATTGGAACTGTAATACATTATCATTTGAAATCATCCATATTTTCATATTGGTTATAATTAAGCCATACTATAATAAGGTTTTCTTAATTGATTTTCGGGTTGCCCCCACTAAAGGAAATTTCTAGCTCCGTCCTTGCCACAACCACAGAAAAATCAAAACAAATGCAGTATCGGCATCGATCCATCAAGTCCATACTATGTTCATTATTCAGATAACCCCGATCATATGATCATTTCGGAAAAATTGAACGGTCCCAAGTATCCATCTTGGAGTAAATCCATGATCCTTTATCTCACAGCCAAGAATAAAATTGGCTTCATCGATGGCTCTATTCAGCCCCCCTCAGCAACAAGTCAACCAAAAGAATTTGCTTTCTGAAATCAATGCAATAGTATGATTTTGTCATGGTTTGCTCAATCAGTTGAATCTGATTTATCTAAAGGAGTTGTTCAAGCCAAAAGTGTCTAAAAGGGTGTGTGGAAGATTTCAAAATTAGTTTTCACATAAGAATGCACCAACAATCTATCATCTTCAGAAGTCCATCACATCTCTCTCACAAGGTTCCATGACGGTCTCGGCTTATTTTACAAAACTTAAGGGCCTTTGGGATGAATTAGAGACATATCGACATCTTCTTACCTGCGATCAGACAAAGGCACATAATGAGCAAATAGAAGAAGATCAGATGATGCAATTTCTTATGGGTCTTAACGACTTTTACAATGGAGTTCGCAGTAATATCCTTATGATGACACCATTGCCAAAAGTTCGTCAGGCATATTCACTTGTCATTCAAGATGAAACACAACAACAAATGATATTAGGATTAACCGAAAATTGTAGAACTCGAAATATTATTGCAAGTTTTTTGACAAAAGAGGCCACACTGAAGACATATGCAGAGTAAAAAATGGGACCGAGGACTCTAGTTATAGGGGAAACCAAGACAAGAAACACATCAACAAACCTCACTCCCGTGGGTCCCATAGCAGCAACCCACGTGTTGCCTTCCCTGCTGCAAATTTCGCTGCTGGGTCATCCTCTCTTGCTGCCAATACAACAGCTGCCCCCTCTCAACCACACATGTCTTAATCAAATGCTCTGCAAGGACTTTCAGCAGAACAACTTCAACAATTAGCCCAAGCTGTATCCATGATAAATTTGAGGGAACTTTAACGTAAAGCTTTTGGTACTGTTCATTTTAATGAAAAACCACATTTTTACACTAAAAAGTCAATCATGGTACTATTCACTTTACCCTTTATTTTGTCCTTATTATTAAAACTCAAAGTTTTCAAGCTCTTTTCATTAGTTTTCCTTAACCATGCTCCTGTTAATAACAATGCTTATGCAAAATCTGCAGTTCTGTTCCCTTTTACTGTTGCTTCTGTTAATTCCATATTTACAAAACCTTGGATTTTGGATAACGGGGCCACCAATCACATCATCTAAGACTCCTCACTTTTCAATAAAGCCTTGCAACGAAGCCTCGATATTCTGTATATATATATATATATATATATATATATATATATATATATATATATATATATATATATATATATATATATATATATAGATATTTGATGAATCTATATATACAAATATAAATCCAAGGACTGCATGAGTGAATGGCATGGTATTTTCAAAGGAAGAAAGATGTCTTCTATTATAAACTCTCTTTCCTTCTCTTCCCTCCTATTTGAACGGTTACCATTTAATCACGTCAACATCTTATATTAATTTTTTTATAGAGACAATAAGACAAAAAATAATATGTGAGAGAAAGGGACATAAAGGAATGAGAATAGGAGGGGAGAAAATCCTACTCTTCACAAGAAAGCCTTGAAAGCCATACGTTAGTATTAATCGCGGGAAGAGAGCATGGGTTGGTGGTGGTGGTTAGGCCATCTCCAATCGAAAGGTCCAAAGGGCCAGAGGATCGAAAATAACCCTAAAATCGTCTCCAACCGAGGGCTAGGCCAGAGGGCTGTGGAATCTGAAAGGGCCCCACGGAATCGGAAATGGCCAAAGGGCTAGAGGGCTGGCCACTTCTGGCCAGTCAACCAGCCCCGGGTTGGCCATAAATTTTTTAAATGTGTCGGATTTTCTGTCGGTTAATTCTTAAGAAAAAATTCAAATGCAACGGCTAGCTGACTAGCTGTTGCATTTGATATATTTATTTTTTTACAGTTTTATTATTATTTTTTATTTACAAAATGTTTCATATACCTTCTATTTTTTCCTATAACTTTTATTTTACAAACTTTGTTTCATATTTTTTTAAAATTCCATTTTTCCTATAACTTCTATTTCACAAAATTTGTTTCATTTTATTTTAAATTCTATTTTTTTTTCCTATAACTTCTATTTCACAAAATTTGTTTCATATTTTTTTTCCTATAACTTCCTAAGCCATTATACAACATTACATTAAATTAAGTAACATGAAACAACATTAAACAATATGAAACAACATTAAATTAAATTAAGTAACATGAAACAACATTAAACAATATGAAACAACATTAAATAACATTAACCATGATGCACCCCGACCCGAAATGTCTACTAGAACTCCGAATCGAGTTGTGCTGGCCGACAACTGGAAGGTGATGAAGCCATAAAGTGTAGTAATGTGAAAAAAGTGAATAAATTAAACCTAAAAATGCCTAATCAAAAGAGTGTGCGGGTGAGCGGGATTGAACCCTTTTCACACATGATGTCAGAGCATAAGACAATATAGTAAATAGGATAAGGGTTATACCACTGAAGGTAACCATCTTATGAGATTTGCCAGAATCCTTGTATACGCGTAAACATAGCTACTAAACCTGGAAGGGCGAAGAACAAAGTTGAGTGGGTCAGCAAAACAATACTTATACGAAAAACTTTATTTTTTAATATACTAACCCCTCGCCGTAAAACAAGTATAGTTTCCTTAAAACATATTATGTAAGTATGTAATCAAATATAACAGCAATATAACCAAATATTTGCCAAGTCATGATATATCAAATGCCAAAGTAATATAATCATGTGATAATCAATTATAAGTAGTTTGCTCATCATCTAAGCTAGCACATGAGTCGGAACTGCCTAAGGCAATTCTACCCGACAGGACTGGGTGTAATCAATGTGCTCTAGTACTACGATCACACAAAGACTGGTACAGAAGCATGGTCACATACAAGTCGGATTGCCTAATGCAATCTACCCGACAAGACTGGTACCTAACTTGGATCCAAGGTGAGCGAATGGTGCGAATGTGAACATACACGTGAACGACTAGTCCTGGCCCTAGGCGGAGTACTAACATCGGGGTGCAGCAAGATGAGCATGTACAAATATGTATGAATGTCATGACAATAATATCTCAACCATATAGCAGCATTTATCACATTTCATATCACATTATCGAATACTTGGCAATATAAGCGAAAAAGTGAAGTAACTACACATTTAGGGAAACTATCAATATGTATAGGTATAAAATAAACTGCCCACTCACAGATATTTCACCGCTGACGAGCCACGCAACCTAGCGAATGGAAATGCCACTAATAATTGCCCTTAAGCACATAAAGGTACAATTAATAAAACTATATTATAAAAATTGAATTTGGGAAAACAGACGTCAAAAACAGATTCAGGACGTCGAATTACCCTAAGAAGGGTCCCGCTTAAATTTCTGAAAAGAAAACAAAAGTCAACATGATGAATATTCCCTGAATGACGAAATATTCTCTGACAAATGGGATATTCCCTAACGAAATATTTCATCTAGGTTAAGGGTTATTAGGTTGGATTAGTTTAATATGTTGGACTTAAGGGTTCTGGGCCTAAACTAAAAGGGTTTAGGGCTTTAGGGATTGGGTTTGGGGTTTAGGCCTTCAATTTAACAAATAACATAAAAACAAAAGAATTAAAAAGGGTTAAGGGTTTGGGTTTGGAGTCAGGGGCCAAAGGCCTTCTTCTACTCGGCCCCAAGGGCCTGGGTTTGAAAGGGTAGGGCTTAAAAGCCTGGCCCGAGTCCAACATATGGGTCGCCGGACCCAAAGGAAGATGAAGGCCGAAATTCGGTTGGAAAAATACACAACCTTTAAACGTTCACAACTTCCTCGTTACTCAACGAAATCGAGTGAAACAAAAACGAAAGTTGTAGTTCTCGAAGAGACGAAGAGAATGGTATCTCGCACGAGTTATAGTACTTAGCGAGACGAAGAGATTGATATCTTGCATGCCGGCTAATTCGCCGTGGTTTGGCTGGAAATTGGCTCGAAAAGCACGGGTCAAACTTGAACTTCTCGAAACCGAGTTGTTTCACATCAAAGCTTCCTCAAACCTTGACTAGGGACCCTAGGGAGTTGCGTAGAGGCTTTCCCGAGTCCTAAAACATCGTGACCCGGTTGAAAACACGTCGAACTCAACTCGTCCGAGTTCGGACCTTCCAAGTTGGTGAGTCAAAACTCGTCCATTCTTAGTTTGGTTGGTATGGTTGTGTTCGTGGAGGTAAGGTGAACACAATCGTAAGGTTGTTAAGCTGGAACAATGAAGATTTGGGGTTGGTCTTCCTTGTTGAAGAGAAAAGAGAGTTTCGAGAGGGAGAGAGAAATAAGGAAGAGAGAGAGAAGAGAAAAGCAAGGGTTTCTTATTGTTGTAAAAAAATGAGGGAAATGATGTGAATGGTGGAGAGGAAAAGAAGGAAAGTAAAAGTTGATTAGTGTGAAAGGAAGGGGACCATATCCCTTTTTGGGATTGGATGGGTTAATTTTGTACAATTTAAAATGTACAAAATCTGCCTCTATCTTGTTCGTGCTTGTACAAAATACCCGTAGTTAACGTACTTTAACGGAGCGTAATTTTTTCGTTACAAATCCAATTCGAGTCTAACACACGTCTACACATTCGTAGCGACGACTACTATGAGGATATGCTAAAAGAATAAGTCATATGTTTCTCTAGCTGATGGTCAACGGAAGTCAAAGTCCTTGCCTTTAAGACATTTTCGTAAATTCACACTTTTAAAATTAATAAAAACGTAAAATTAGGGACGAGTCGTCACAAACCAACATACAAATTATACAACATAAAAAAAACATTTAACAACATGAAACTTAAACAATATTTTTAAAAACATTTAAGAGCGACCAGCAATAAAGCCACCCCATTGAGGTTGTTCCTCAGTTGGCTGACACACCATGGCCGCAGCTATGGCTGCTGCTCTGTTTTGTTTGTTGCGCCTTACTTGAACTTCTTCACCAGACTCTTCATCTTCTTGTCTCATTTGCGCCTATTTTGCTTCTCTTTTGGAATTGGATGAGGACCCCCAGTTGGAATATGAAGAGGATCCAAAGTTGGAATTCATTGCAAACTTGAATTGAAAGAGATTGAATTGAAATAGATTGAATTCAAAGTTATGTGAATTATATCCCAATATCCACCCTATTTATAGCAAAAAAAAATTCAAATCCAACGGCTAGCTGACGTCACTTAGCCGTTGGATTTGAATTTAAGTTGTAGTTTTTAAATAATAAATTATGTTTGGCCTTATGGCATTTTGGCCCTCGGTTTGAGACGGTTTTTTGTGACAGGGCTAAAATGAGCCCTCTAGCCCTTGATTGGAGACGGACGCAAATATGGCCCTGTACTGTTAATATCTTGGAGGATCTTGGAGAGCCAGAAGACTAAAACGAGTCATCTGACCAGCCATCGGTTGGAGATGGCCTTACAGTCATTGTAGAGGTACTACACTAGAAATTAAAGAAATGGGGATGGATGGGTGCATGTAGCAAATTTGAATGTGATAGATATTTCACATAATATCTCCATGAAATTGGCAGCAGTGCCCCTTGTGGCATGCAATGTTTGTGATGATAGTGGCAATTTTTTATTTCTCAGCACAGTCAAGAATCCCATGTGCAAAAGCCAAATTTGAGGATTCTTTGCCGGGGAAAAATTTCAAGGTGTGGCGGTCACACTAACATGAGAGACATTACTAGTTTATATATTATAATATGGATAGACGATTAAGTTGATATTTTCTAATTTCTTTTGGTTTGGTATAAAAAATCATATTACAGCAAGGAATTGAATTTTGGTGCAAAGGGTTGAACACACTGCCCTAGACAACTACTCTAATCCACATATCCTGAAATATAATATTATTAAATATAGGGATGTGATATAACATGACTAGATTGATTACCAGCATTAATGTACGATATTCACACGGAAGAATTTCATCATTGCCGGTTTGGATGCCGCGTGTGCTCTATATTTGTTTAGGTGTGGCAGTTGTATTAATTACTACGTGATGTTACTAATTGGAGTACTATTATATGGGTGAACGGTAAAACTAATATATTGTAGATTTAGAGTACAAATTTGCTAAATAGATACACATGGTATAACACGTTAGACGACAGTAATGTCATCTTTGCCAGTTTGGATGTATCATGTAGTAAGTAAATCTGTATGTTACTTAACATTCTTTCTGCTATGTGTAATTATGTGTGTTAAGCTTGTAAAAGGAAACCATGTGAAAAAGCATGAGCAGAGGTCCACAGTAACTCAGCATGCTGTGCTGGTTTTGCTGGTAAGGGAAAAATTAAGAGTACCGTTGATTACTTTAGGATACGAAAGTGGGTACGATGTGTTTGTCAAGGCTCATGGTGGTGGCCTTTCTGGTCAGGTGCAGGCGATATCCCTTGGCATTGCTCGAGCTTTGCTAAGGGTCAGCGAAGGCCATAGAAGACCTTTCAGAAAGGAAGCGCTGCTGACCAGAGACACCAGAGTAGTTGAAAGGAAGAAGCCTATGTTGAATTGTAATCTTGTCTTGGGCCAGGTCCAGCCCATGTTGAAAAGGCAAAACAAGATTCATCAATTGCTAGATAATTATAGCAAGAGCATGTCGGTTCATACATTGAAAATGCTAGAGAATTCTAGCACCAAAGTCGGTGCGTCATGCATGCATATTAATATAACAGACAATTCTAGTATTTTAGCATATTAAGTTGGCAAGTTTGTTTAATGGATTGTTATAGAAAACTCTAGAATAATTATAACTTGAGGTTAGGATGAAGAACAAAATTCCACCGACTTGGTAAGTCGGTAATGCTTGCCTATAAATATAGGTGAATGTGTTGTGATGTAACTAAGAGAGCAAGAAGTGAGAAAAAGAGTGAAGAAGTGTGTGAGTGTAAGTGTTTCCTCTTGTATTAGTTTGTGTAAGAATAAAAATTTTGTGTAATACTTTAAGTGTTCTTTCTTTCTCTTGTCTATCAATTCCGCTGCATTACATTCTTCTTTGTGAGATAAACATCTTCAAAGTAGTGAAGTCTTTTTAAGCCCCAACAACTTGGTCTCAAGAAAGCTCGCAAAGCCCCTGAATTTTCAAAGCGTTAGACTCGTCTTTCCTTTTCTATGTTGTGGACATCGCAAGCCATACAAAGATCTCGGCTTCCATTGTAGATTAAGTGGCTTTTGTAGTGAAATCTTTTTGTGCACTATATGAACAGGTTTTCATTTGGAAATGTGAATGTAGATTGAAAGCAAGGAATTTGGATTTGGTAACTTAATTTGTTACTTCCTATTGATTTTCAAGGATTGTTTATATCTTTCATGAATGCATTACAATTGTTTAGCCGTATATAAACTGGTGAGAAGCCAAGGGTTTGGTGAAAATGTTGGCCAATTGATCACAGCTTCTGGTATAATGGGTCTGAATCATTTTTGACTGGACTTGTTCCCGAACATAATGGCAGTCAACTTCAATATGTTTCGTCCTCTCGTGAAACACTAGGTTTGATGTTATATGCATTGCTGCCTGATTGTCACAAAATAAAGACATGGGGAGAGTTGTAAACACTCCTAAGTCGCTCAGAAGACCCTTTAGCCATATCAGCTCACACGCAGTGGAGGCCATTGCATGATACTCGGCTTCAGCACTTGAGCGTGCGATGACATTTTGTTTTTTGCTCTTCTATTTGACCAAATTTCCACCAACAAATGTACAGTAACCTGTTGTGGACTTACGGTCAATTGCGTTTCCCGTCCAATCAGCGTCGCAATATCCCATGAGTTGTGTGTTTTCATTCTTCTTCATGATGATGCCACGACCCATAGACCCTTTTAAGTAGCGTAATATCCGCTTAACAAGGTTCAAATGCTCAATTGTGGGAGAGTGCATGACTTGGCTTATGACACTTACGGAATATGTGATGTCAGGTCTGGTGATTGTTAGGTAGATCAACTTACCAACAAGCCTCTGATAATGGCGTATATCAGTGAGTGGGGTGCCTTCCAAGCTAGGTTTGAGCTTGCTATCCAGAGGAGTAATTGTAGGTTTGGCATCTCTCATGTTAACTTCCTTGAGCAAATCCAGGATATACTTTCTTTGATTTAGAAATAGTCCATTGTGAGAAGTTGCCATCTATATGCCAAGGAAATACTTCAATACCCCAAGGTCTTTAATTGCAAACCTTTGTCTGAGTGACTGTTTGAGTTTGAAGATCTTTTCAGCATTATCTCCTGCAATTATTAAGTCATCGACATAGATCAAGACAACCAATTTGTCCACAGCTCCAGTGCAAACAAATAATGAGGAATCGACATTGCTTCTTTTGAAACCAACATTTGTGAGAACTGAGCTTAGCTTGCCATACCAAGCTCGGGGGGATTGTTTCAATCCACAAATTGATTTATGCAATTTGCACACTGAATCATGCTCATTGCTTTGAGGGTGCCCTGGTGGCAATTTCATATAGACTTCTTCTTCGAGATCACCATGTAAGAATGCATTCTTCACGTCCATTTGGTACATGGACCATCCTTTATTGACAGCCACAGACAATAGAACCCTAACTGAGTTCATTTTCGCAACAGGGGCAAACGTTTCTTTGTAATCTACATCGAAAGTTTGAGTGAATCCCCTAGCCACCAACCTTGCTTTATGTCTCTCAATTGAGCCATCTGAATTGAATTTGATCTTATAAATCCATTTACAACCCACAGCCCTTTTTCCTTTTGGAAGTGTGGTTATACTCCATGTTTTGTGTTGATCTAGAGCTTTAAGTTCTTCTTGCATTGCTTCTTTCCACACTTCTTTGTTGTTAGCCTCATGGAAATTCTGAGGCTCACTACAACTTGCAATGTTACTTAAGAATGCAGCATGAGAGTGAGTCACCTTTTGGTAGGACACATAATTGGAGATTGGATGTTTGGGTTTGTAGGTGACGAAGTCTTGAAACCTTGGGGGAGGTTGTCTTTCACGCATTGGATTGCTTCGTGGGGCTGTTGTGTGAGTTGTCTCACACTCGTTCACATCTTGAGCCACACTGTGAGGATCATCTTGATTGTCACCATCTTCATGTGTTGTACCATCAGAGTGAGGGCCTTCATTGCCACTTTTAGTGAGGGATGACTCAGTGTTGACATGGCTGAGAACTCTATTTGTTGAAGCATCAAGGTCGATTCTTAGTAGAGGAAACACCTCCAACATACACTCTCCTTGACTTGTAGTTTCAAGTGACTTGCTGTAAAAAGGGTCAGTCTCATGGAATCGAACATCTTTAAACACAATCAATTTCCTCAATTGGGTATTATAACACTTATATCCCTTTTGTGTTGAAGAATAGCCAAGGAAAATGCATTTAACAGCTTGAGGGTCCAATTTACCTCGATGATGAGGTTGAATATGTACAAAGCAAATACAGTCAAAGACTCTAAGGTGTGAAAGATCGATTTTCCTACCTTTCATGACCTCAAGGGATGATTTAAACTCCAAGACTCTGCTAGGTAACCTATTTATGATAAAGGTAGCTGCCATGACTCATTGGGACCAAAATTTCTTTGGTACATTCATTTGTAGCATTAGTGCTCTAGTTTTTTCAAGTAAGTCACAATTTTTCCTTTCGGCTATGCCATTTTGTTGAGGTGTGCCAACACAACTTGTTTGATGCATGATACCATGAGTGCTCAAATATTGTGTCATGATATGAGATGTGTATTCGGTGCCATTGTCAGACCTTAAAGTTTGAATTTGAGAAGTGAAATGGTTTTTAACAAGATTATGAAAATCCTTAAAAGCTTCTATAACTTCATTCTTAGACTTTAGGAGGTACAATCATGTGGCTCTAGAGAAATCATCAACAAATATCACAAAATACTTATAACCATCAAAAGATTCTAAAGTTGGTCCCCATACATCCAAATGGACAAGTTCAAAACACTTACTAGCCCTGGATAAGGAAGAGTTAAAAGGTAATCTAGTGGCCTTAGACAAGTGACATGTTTCACATGAAATTACATCCTTCCCTAAGTTTGGAAATAAAGTTGACAAAATGGGTGGAGAAGGATGAGCTAAACGTTGATGCCACAATTGGTTATCTTGGATAGAGTAGGACTTGGCTTGAAACCCTCTGGGATTACTCTTCGATATGTAATAGAGACCATCTAGATAAAACCCTTCACCAATCGTCTTCTTGGTTGCACATTCCTGAAAAACAACATTGTGAGGGGATAATATGGCTAAGCAATTTAAGGTATTTGTGATTTTCCCACAGATAGGAGTTGAAATGGAAAGGAATGAACATATAAGGCCACCGACTCAATTTCATCAGATATTAAGTTGATTTTTCCCTTTCCTAAAACCTTTGCATTTTCACCATTTGCAATTGAAACTTGGGAAGGATTTAATAATTTTTCAAACTTATGAAACTTAGACACATGGTTGGTCATATGGTCTGTGGCACCCGAATTTACAACCCAAAAATCATGCAACATATTTATATTAAGAGCAGTTTTGAAAGCTTTCATGATACCTTGCATGTCTTCTTAAGGTACATGTTTCGTGTCGGCTAAGAAACCAGCAAACTTGCCTAGCAAAGCTGTTGGGTTTCCGTCTTCAACGTTGTCTATTCGGTCACTTCCAGTCTCTCATTTCTTTCTTTGAAGATACAATGCAAACTCATTCATGAGTGCAGCTGGATTAGCTGTGAAGTTCTTAACTGTGTCAGACACATGTGAAGAGGAGGCAGACGCATGATTTGCTCGATGTACAGTACGGTTCACTCTCTGTGAAACCTTGTTGTCCTTCTTGAAATCAGGCTTTAATTCTGGATGTAAAATCCAACATGTCTCTTTAACATGGCCCGTATAGTTGCAGTGTTGGCACTTCAAGTTTGGATGCTTCACTTTGTACTTCTTCTCGTTGATTAGGTAGGCCTTTTCTTTAGATACATTGGCCTTTGTACCAATGTTCATGACCTTCCTCCTTACTTCCTCACATTGAATTGTTGCACAAATACTGGTGAAGGAAGGAAGTTCAGTGTTCATGAGTATGTGGCTTCGTAGGTCTTCATATTCTGAGTCGAGACTGGACAGAAGTTGAAATATCTTGTCTTCTTCTGCTTTCGTCCGTAACAAACCAGCATCAGTGGTATGAGGGCGATATATTTCCAACTCATTCCACATGCTTTTCATGCTACCTAAAAGTTGTACAAAGGGTTTACCTTCTTGTTACAGGTTGGAGATGTCCTTCTTTAATTGGAAAACCTATGCAGCATTGTTCTGACTGCCATACATTTCCTTGACAGTCTCCCATAGCTGGAGTGAAGATTCAGAGTAACTGAATATTTCAGCTAGTTTATGTTCCATGGAATTCAGGAGCCATGACATAACCAGCTGATCCTTGCTAAGCGGATTCATAAGCTGGTGAGGAAGCATCAGGAACTTCGATGCTTCCATTTATGAATCCTAACTTGGACCTTCCACCTAAGGCAAACGATACAGCCCTTGACCAAGGCAAATAATTAAACCCATTCAACAAGACTGAGCTTAATCTTTGATTTGGGTTGATATCCACCTCAGGCATATTCACGGAGGAAAAAACCAGTGACCTTTCAGCATCCGATCCAAGAGGATTGTCTTCAGCCATTTTGAAGATTGAACCCGTTCAGATGGTAGTAAAGCAGAAGCAGGTTATTTTTCCTGCTCTGATACCATATTGATTTTCAAGGATTGTTTATATCTTTCATGAATGCATTACAATTGTTTAGCCGTATATAAGGAGATGAACTCTCCTTGAGTTATGCCACAATCGGTGGACTCCTAAGAAAAGAGAACAAATGATTAGAGACACACTTGAGTGGTTGCTTTACCCCTAACCCTACACACTTGAGTAGATGCTTTAACCTACTTAAAGAGAACAAATGATTAACCACTTAGGAGACACACTTGAGTGGTTGCTTTACCCCTAACCCTACACACTTGAGTAGATGCTTTAACCCTACTTCCAATACTTCCCATAACTTGATTGCTAGACATATTTTTGTTTCTAGTGTTATATCATATGATCCTAGAGTTTTCGGGCATAAATTCAAGTACCGGGCAGAATGCAGCTTGCTCGCTAGATTGCCTTTTTCTCAACAATTCCGGCAAATACTCTGATCAGCAAGAACACAAGTGAATTGATCCATCGAGTTATTCGGCCATAACATGCACGATTTTTTCAGATAATCTCGTTACCACGTAAGACTTGTTATTACTTCTTTAGTTAATAGTAGATTATCACTAATTTTAGCTATAGAAAATGCTCTATATCCCAAAATTTTCTTTTCCAAACCTAGGCGTCAAGTGACATGCATGACCCTGCATCATTGCATAAAAAGTACAATAACTTTGTAGGCTCCAAGGATAACAAAATTGAAACCAAAATTTATGCTGGTTTTCCAAGCGAGATGAAGGTCGCTTGAAGTTCAAGGGCTTTTACAAGAGAGGAGCGAATGACGAGACATTTAGGGTTATGGACCAGCCCTAAAAATGGAGAGAATATCAGATACAAAAGGTGAGGGGCACGAGTCAGAGGTTGAGATATACTATTGAGGTTAAAAAGACCTTTATATGTAAAATCGGGCGAAACACGTGATTTATACGGTCGTATTGGAAGCTTTTGCCCATATTTTAGATTAGTTTCTTATAGATTTTGTATCTTATTTTTGGACCTATTTTGGTTTGTTTTGGATCTAATGCTGCATCCTTTTTTGGTACGTTTTCTATAAACCCTAAAACCCTATAATATATGTTATTTTCTTCTGTCAACCTAAAAACATAAGGATTTTTAGCAAAATGGTATTTGAAATTGTTATAAATTCTCACTTTAGTCCCTAATCTTTAAAATCGATAGAAGTAGTTCTAAGATTGTCTACCAACAAATCAATCACTTTAGTCAGGTGAAAAATCTCCGTTAAATTGAAGAAACCATCAATTCAAATAGAGTTTCTAAAACTATAAAGTATCTTTAGTCAAATTTCATTACCTATGTGAAACTATAAATAGAAGGAACTTTAGGATCCTTTACTGTAGGTTTTGTATTCATGGGCATTGGTCTTGTTGATGCTTTCGGGCAAACGACAATGGGTTGGAATGGTATAC